TCTTTTAGCGCGTCTAAGTAGTGTTGTTAGGAATGCATTAGTGTAGGAAGAGTAGTTTAGTAGGGTCTTAGCAAAAGTAAGCAACTTAGGTGTGTAAGCAACTTGCCTGTGGTGTACGTTAGAGGAAAAAACGATCTAAGGAGCGTGAAGAAATTTGCTGATTTTTGCACATAATAGATGGGAGGTGCAGCAACTTTTGTTAATATAACGTCTAAGTGAGGCTAGCTTCCAACGTCACAGTCAAAGGCCTGTGAGCCGATCGTCGGACGAATCTTGTACAGTCGCCTACCAAAAGTCATTAGCCACTCAACGATCCGAGCTCTGCAGGGGTATAGTCAGCCCATTTAGGAAAGAGGTTACTTGACCAATTGCTACCCAAATTAAAAGATTTTTGGTTCTATAAGAAGCCTGTGTTAAGGCCTATCTTCTAGCGTTATAGTTAATTAATAGTGAGTTAACCCGCCTTTGTTTTAGATAACTTCCTTTATGCGCTTTAACTAGCTTAGGATACTCTTCCTATAATCAGCTAGTGTAATCTTTGCCTATTCCTCTTTAAGGATATCTACCATCTGCTTGCGAGTGGTAATATATTCTTGTTGCTTTAAGATGCGGAGCTTTATGATCTGCTAGAGGTTCTCAATTAGGTTTAAATTAGGACTTTGTAGAGGCCAATCCATCTGTATCATGCCATGGTTGTCCATATACTTTTAGGTAGCCTTTGCAGTATGAATAGGGGCTCCATCCTGCATCTATATGCCAATACCGCGTTTCTCTGTAAGCTGCTCATAGAATGGGATGCCAACGTCGTGCAGAATCTAGCAGTATTTGCTAGCATTGTTCTGCTTGCCTCTCTAGTTAATAAACAGCTCTAATTTAAAATTAAGAGAGATTACACTAAATACAGAGACTGTAGTCCTTCCAGACTTAAATGTAGGCTTTAGGTACCGACTCTTGTACGCTTTTCCATGCTGCTGACGTACATATGGAGGTCTAGTGTCTAAGCCAACTTCAAATGTTGCTTCATCACAATAGGCTACGCAAGCCACGTCACTGCTCTTGTTATATTAATGGATTTGAGCAAAGCGGAGTCGTTTTTCTTTGTGTACAGCTGAGAGCCAAGGCTTGTGACGCGGACAGAAGGCGTAGTACTCATGTTTTGCAAGGTATCTCCTTACAGTACTAGCATGGATGCGGCAGTGGGTCTTGGACGGTGTCGCAATAGTCTGGAGCGTAGCAAAGGGATTATTTGCTGCCCAGCAAATTAAATGCCTCTCAGCGCGTTCGTCAAGCTTCGGAGGCCGGCCTGTACGCAGGGCTTTTGTATAGATAGGCTGGGGCTGCTTGCGCAGCCGGCGGATGTTATATGTAACCGTCGACTTAGGAATGCTGAGATAACTTGAAATTTTGCCAGCGCTCACGCTGTAGAGGTGGAATTGCCATATTGTATTAACAGTAGACTTAGATAGCTCTTTGCGCGAGGTTTTATTTGCTTTTGTAACTATTAAAAAAGGTGGTAATTTAATTAAGTTACAATTAATTAAAATCAAAGCATTGTGGGGTGGCCTAGGCCTCTCGCTAAAGTGGCCAATCACTTTTGGTAGGCGACTGTACATGCGTTTTCGTGCGCATGCTGTTAAAGTTCAGCCTCAGCCTTGTAATTTCTCATTAGTTCCCCACACTTTCCTTTTCTTGCACAGCCTAACCCTTGCACCGCCCAACTTGGAGCCAATTCGCGAATCTAGAAATTCATGTGACCGAATCTCCTCTTTTGGGCAACATCGTCGCTAAATACATGGCGCAGTCGCCAATAGTCAAGATGGTACCGGTCAAGAAGATGGAAACAAAAAGTCGCTCATCCCCGGCGACTCGGCCTTGCAGCACGTCCTTCGGTTGCATTTTCCACCGTCATCATGGAGGCGCTTTCGAATTCCACCACCGATGATGTTTACACCGAACTCAAACGATCAATTGTTCCTCGCGACTTATCTTCATGGGGTGGCTACGGACTATTAGCCAGCTCCTGCCCTTCTGGGAGCTCGTCCTGCGGAAGTAAGAGTTGCTGTCCGTCTGGATATACATGTAGTAAAGAAAGAAGCGACGGTACTGAGACTTTGTGCTGTCCAAACAGTGGGTATTCTTCTCCTCATGTCACCGACTCTCTAACCCCTTGCGAAATGGTTTGAGATGAATGCTTACGAGAGTTGTGAAAACAGACGATGATTGCAAGAACGTTGTCGGAGCGTTACCAGCTTGCGCAGAGAATTCGTGGACGCTGTATAGATACGGCTACTACTTCTGTTGTGCGGCCGATCGAATTGGGACATACTCTTTGGATGGTGGAATTCTGTGTCTCGAACACACACTGCCTATTCCTAGCGAAATAAGAGTTAGCGTGGTACGTTATCTTTTATTTTATCTTGCGGCATAATGCAAGTCCGAGAGCTAATCTAGCCGCATAGGTTTCTCAAGCAACCGGCGCGGCAACAAGAGCACAATCAGCAACGGGAACACTGATCACAACAACTAAACCAACGTCACCGACCTCCTCTCAAACTGGAACAACGTTAGTCCAAATCACCCCATCAACCGGCACCACACCTTCAACGGTTTCAACAATCGTTCCTAACGCCACTCCCAGTCCCCAAGCCTCCAAATCATCGCGCGTAAAACCAACAACCATCGTCATTGCCGCACTCGCTGGTGCATTCGCACTCCTCCTCATTTTCGTAATATGGTATTTCCGAAGAAAGATAAGGGCCAAGAAGGCACTACGCATAGCAAATATGCCGGCGCAACCGGTAGATTCCGATGGGTATGCCATAACCCCCGACGTTGTGAAGCCCACCATGTATGATGTTTTTGGAGCGGCTCGTGCTCGAGCTTCAATGGCCACGCCGTCACCGGTGGTAGGAGGACCACCTACGTATGCTTATCCGGCGCCGCAGGGATATGAGTTGGCTGGGAATGTGATGCCGCCGCCGCTGAGAAGTGAGTTAGACGGAAGGAATCCGCCGCCTTATTGATTTGTGAGTGAAGAGTTTCTTGTAGAAGTTAGCGTCAGGTGGTTGATTGCCCTTCGTGTAATTTCTGAATCTGATATGACTGTAATGATAATCTGGCCTTCTTTTATTTAACATGTGCACCGACTCGCTGTCTCTTCCCTTATACTTCTCGTTATCAAGCGGCCTTCCAGCGTTCTCTCTGATAGTATTGGAGATGCGAAATTTACGGCGTGTGCTACCATGTCCACACTCTTCTCCCATGTTTCTCCTCCTTTCCCTTCCCCACTTTCCCAATTTGTTTATTTGCTCTTTCCCTTCCCTGAACTTCTCCCGAAGCAAAGTTCCCTTAACCCCCCCATCTCCCTCTCCACTTCGTGCTCTATCTGTTTCCCCATAGTGGTTATATCTTTCCTAGGCAGAGTAAACAGTATCGCAATAAGAATAGCCCGGCCGGCACAATTGGTTAGTGCGTAAGACTCTTAATGTTAAGGTTGCGAGTTCGAGTCTCGCGTCGGGATCTATCTTTTTGTTATTTGGGAGTGGTTATTCCTGAGTTATGTTTTTGTGAGTGAAATGGTGTATTTGTCTCCTTTTGTTCTGCCTACATGTTCACCGTCAGGACCAAGTTAATAGATAGCTACAAGGACGTGCTGCATGTTCTGATGTTAATTCATGTAGTAAGTGCTATACATAATCAGTCCCTCCGTGACTTCCCACAATTCCCAAACTCCATATGACGCGAGGCAGTGCACTCCACACCAAAATCTAATGCAGACTGTTCATTCCTTTCCTACGACTATGCAGTAGCTCCATTCTCACCATTTCCAATACCGCCTGTAAAACCGCCAATGGAATCTTGATACCAGAACACTTCTCCCCTCCCCAGTCCCTTCCCACCTTTTCCATATACCCTGCTACCGCTGAATTCCTCAACCACCTGCTCAATCTCGCGTTCTGTCAACTTTCTCTCCCCAGGCTCAGGTGCCGGATGCAATACGCATTTTTCAATTCTCCGAGACCAATTTGCCCGTCATCACCATTGTCAAAGGCTTCAAATGCTGCCAACAACTCGCTAGGATATGATAGTCCGGAGAGGAGATCCGAAAGGGTGGAAATATATGTAGCGAGTTTTATAGACTGGGCGCCGTTGGGAAAGTACGATGCTGGCATGGATGGTGTGGGTGGAAGGCGAGGTGGGAGAGCATGTCCATTACGTCCACTGAGTTGACGCTGCCATTGTTGTTGCGGTCTAGCACACTAAAAGACTCGCGCATGCTGTAGAGGGGAGTGGTGGGATCTTCGAGAGCCCATCGGTGGAGCCTATTCGTGCTAGAGGGGCTGATCGCGATGCGGGAGGTGGGGTGGAGCTTACACCGTCAAAGCTGGAGGTCATGGTGCTGTATTGTTGGTTCGTACGGTATGTTGTGTAGATGTAGAGACGTGTCTTGAGGGGAGCGAGTGGGGGAGTTGGGGTGCTCAGCGGCGGTAGTTGTGCTGCGAGTGTTCAGCCATGCGGGTACGTTCAGGGACGCATTGCTCACGGCGCAGTTTCGGAGAGGAGTATGCGATGGTGTGGTCGCGGTCAGCTTCAGAGGGCATGTTGTAGGTGTTGACGGCTTGACAGTAGATGGAGAGTGCGTGAGAGGCGAGTTGGGGCGGCGAGGGCTTGTAGGGCGTTGGAGCGGTAGACCGCTGCGGGTCAGTATTTGAGGCATTCGGGAACGCTGCTGCGCGGACCATGTTGTGTTAGCAAGGTTCCGTGCGACGTGGACAATGCGGCGACGTGCAATGCAAGTGGATGGTGTTGTTTTCGTGGTGTTGATGTTTGCCTAATTCCCGCGACTGTAGCCAAGCTCGGAGCCTCAAAGGGCCCTCTCCCCTAGCAACAAGAAGGGGTCCTACTAGCTCCTCTACTAACAAGGCTAGCTAACAAGGGGATTAAAAACGCTTTCTCTGTTAAGGTGTCTAAGAGAATTTTATAATTTTTTACGTAATAACGTACACTACAGGCAAGTTGCTTATACGTCTAAGTTACTTACTTTTACTAAGGCTACACTAAACTACTTCTTTTACACTAATATATTTCTAATAATTATTAGCAGAGCTTGCTCCGCTTATTATATTTAGGTTTGCAGAACAAAAAGTTGAGCAGAACAAAAAGTTGAGCAGAATCTCCTCCTTTAGACGCGCTAGTTAGTTAGAATTTCTGTAGATAAACTCTAGTAACGCTCTTTCTCTGTTATCTTATGTATTTCTTACATTCTTTTTTAAAAAAAATGTATACCTAATATAAGTGCACCTTTATCTTAATTTGTACGCAGTTTGCTCTAGCATACGTTGTGTAAAACATGTTTAAATAATAGTTAGTTGCGTCTGTTTCACCACTCTAGCTACATTAGTGTGTCAGGGATTAGCAGTTGCTTACACACCTGAGTTGCTTACTTTTGCTAAGACCACACCACAACAAACTCTATTATAGCCTATAACAACCCGCTCTAGCACTATATAGTATAGTACAGCCTAAAATATTATTTAAATACTACTTCTACTTCTTGCTTACACGTTTGCGTGTTATGCCTAGTCTAATTACACTGTTCGCAGCGCTGTTACAATCTTTACTTCAGGGAAATGGTTTCCAGAGTACACGGGGCCAAGGTGAGAAGTGGGGGGGATTCTAGAGGTGAGGAAGCTAGACTAACAACAGGTGTACAGTCCGCGTAGTCTTGCTTTTAGAGAGGAGAGATAGGCTAACTATGGTTTGCCCTTTAACAGCAGTATAAGGTGCTTAGGTTAAACAGTTCTAGTAGAACAAGATAGAGATATATATAGTGCAAAATATATAATTAGATTACTCTTATTAAAAAGTAGCAATGCTACTTAGTCTATGTAATAATAACTAAACTAAACTTTAATTACAACTTTTCTAATAAGAGTTACAACCTAAACTATATACATAGAGTTCTAAGAGTTAATTATTATTGCGCGTTATAAGCACTTTCTTACTATAGCGCGTATTAGCACTTATACCGCTTAACATTATTTTCTTATTAGACACTACACTTAGCTATGCACTAGTCTAATAAGTCTATCTATTTGTTGTCTGTTAGGTTCTGTAACTTAATAAGTAAAGTAATAAAAAAACTCTAGCCTTATTTATTTAAACAATAAGGCACTAATAAGTAGTAGCTTATAGTCTAATTTTAGGTTATAACATGCAGAGTCCTCTTTTTATTAGCGTTTTTACTATTTTACTTACACTGTTATAAGTGTTAAAGTATTTTTTTTTATCTAGTGTGTGCTCTTCTATAAACACTTCTTAGAAGTCTATCTTTCTTAGTCTTAACTATGCCTTATTAGCCTTTGTGTTAGTCTGCCTACGCTTGCTGTTCACGCGCTGTTGCTTGTTTTGCCCCTCTTTACTATACAAAAATACAGATATGTAGTCCTTGTTATTTAGTAGAGTCCTTTTATATTCTAATCTTATTATTAGACAAGTGTGTAAAATGTGTTTAAAAGAGAAATTATTATAACGCTTTTATTTCTAATGTAGCTTAGGATTATTTAAAGAAAAAGCGTAAGCAGCTTCCTTTTAAAATAAAAGATGCTTATAACTAACAAAAACAGAAGTAACATATAATAAAGAAAAAGATAAAGCGCAACTTAGAGAAGCTATAACTAATCTAGGCTTAAAAGTTTTAGTTCTAAAAGCAGCTTAATCTCCTTAAGAATTAAAAAGTAAAATATCTAAGAAAAACTTCTTATCCTTATATAAGATTAAAGCACTTAAGGTAGAAGCTTATAGTTCTCCTTCTTTTTAGCTTGTCTTACTAGGTTAGCTGCTGTCTACATTACAGCTATTTAATGTTGCAGTAGTTTCTTCTACTATTAATAGTAGTGCTTTATAGTCTAGAGAACTTTCCCTAGGCTAGTTCTAGCTAGAAGAGACCTCTAATGGTCTTAGAGAAGCTAGAGAGCGTTTGTTAGGTTCTTAATATGTTTTTATATGTTTTTACTAGTAAGCTATTTTTTTTATTTTACTAAAAACTTTTTTTCTTTTTAAGAATTAACTATTTATTTAACTTTATATTCTGCTTTAATATCTTTTTATTTTATTATAAAGAGAGGTATTTCTTTTAGCGCCTTCTTAAGTTTTAAGACATAGAACTAAAGGTGTATACATTTCTTTTAAAAGCTTAAGTTTATAATTATCTTTCTGCGCCTAGAGTACTTTATATAGGCTAATGCGCTTTTCTACAAGTTTTTAAGAAAGCCTAAAAGTGCAGAGATTTTTAGTTTTAAAATACACATAATTCTTAAGTGTAATTATAGGCGCCTTTTTTTAGGCTTTATTTACATTTTATTTTATTTCTTTCTAACTAGCCTTAGCTTTAACTACTAATTTTTAGTGCAGCTCTAATAGCTATAACAGTTAGGTAGCAGTTTCTAGCAGGTCTATTAATTATATGCTATAAAGTGTAAAGCAGGGGTAATAGCTAAAATTAGCTTTGTACAGTGTTTCCTTTATAGTAGCAGATTCTACTGAGTTAATAGCTAGCTAGGCTATAGAGAGCTATTCTGTCTAATTTGTCTAGTTATAAGATACATACTTTCGTAAGTATCTTTCTACTTTAGCATTTAGCCTTTCTATTTAACTGTCTGTCTGTAGATAGTATGCTATAGATAGCCTGTGTTTTATTTCTAGGTATCTTATTATAGCTTCCTAGAGCCTGCTTAACGTACTTCATGGGCGAGTTGCTCACACACCTGAGTCGCTTACTTTTGCCAAGACCCTACCCTAACAAACTCTATTATGGCCCATAACAACCCGCTCTGGCACTATATAGTACAGTACAGCCTAGAATATTATTTAGATACTACTTCTGCTTCTCGCTTACACATTTGCGTGTTACGCCTAGTCTAATTACACTGTCTGCAGCGCCTTTAGGATAGCTTACCTACTTTAGCTTACACCTGCTTCTTTGCCTTCTTCCTGTCACTGCGTGCTTTAAACTCCTTTAAAGCTAATAAGTGTAGGCTTTCTAAATTATTAAGGTCTTTTCTACCTTAATCTGCTTTTTTTTATATAATTTACATTATGTAGTAGCCTTATTAGCTACTTAAAGCTTAGTAATTTCTTATTACACTAACACTAGCTTATGCGTAATTATTGCTACTCTTTTTAAAACTTTTTTAAACACCTTAACTATAAAAGTTAGTAAACTATTTATATACTTCTAAATTTTTATTTTTATAAGCATTAACGTACTTCATAGGCGAGTTGCTCACACACCTGAGTCGCTTACTTTTGCCAAGACCCCACCCTAACAAACTCTATTATGGCCTATAACAACCTGCTCTAGCACTATATAGTACAGTACAGCCTAGAATAATATTTAGATACTACTTCTGCTTCTTGCTTACATGTTTGCGCGTTATGCCTAGTCTAATTGCACTGTCTGCAGCGCCTTTAGGATAGCTTACCTACTTTAGCTTACACCTGCTTCTTTACCTTCTTTCTATTACTGCGCGCTTTAAACTTCTTTAAAGCTGTTAAGCGCAGGCTTTTCTAAATTATTAAGGTCTTTTTTACCTTAATTTACTTTCTTTTATACAATTTATGTTACATAGCAGCCTTATTAACTGCTTAAAGCTTAGTAATTTCTTGTTACACTAACACTAGCTTATACATAATTATTGCTGCCCCCTTTAAAACCTTCTTAAACGCCTTAACTATAGAAGTTAGTAAACTATTTATATGCTTTTAAATTTTTATCTTTATAAGCATTAATTATAACCTAGGTTTTAGGGTATTACTTAAGGTTTATAACTACTAGGGCTTATTATATATAGGTAGTAGTAGTAATAGAGTGCGCAACTTTATATTAAGGCCTATTATAACTTATTATAGGTTAAAAGGAACTAATCTAGCGCCTTAAAACCCTTTTTAGATATTACTAAAAGTAATTACAGCATTATAGGCTGCTTTAAAGCATAGTAGAAACTTTATTTTTATAATATAAGTAATCTAGTTGCGCATAAGGTTTTTAGCTTAGCGCTTATACGCCTTCTTTAAAGAAGTAAAACAACTTATATTAAGTAGCTATAAAAGGTGCAATAAGTAAAAAGGCATATAAATAGTAATAATTTTGTTATTTTTATAGTATTACTAGAAATAAAGTAAGTTATAGCTCTTATAGCTGTTAATAACTAGCAGACAGTAGCTGCTAACAGTACGCTTCTTTATATGTGCGTTAAAGTGCTTTAACTAGTCTAGACTAAGCTAATTAGTAGTCTAGCTATGCTTAGAGATTATAATAACTTAATTCTAAAGTAGATTTTCTTTTTTATACTAGTTTAAAAAGTAGTTGCTAGCCTAGAAAATAATAAAGAGTAAAATAGCCTACTTTTAGCATTAATGCTCTAGATAGCTGTTGTCTACTTCTAGTTGCCTAGCTAGACTGCTTTTAGCTGTCCTTATCTCTCTAAACCTATAACAACTGCTCTAGTAGATATCTAGCCTATTATAAACTCTGTCTTGTTAAAGTTATACATGTTGTTATTCTAAATGCTATACTTAGCTTTAATATTCTTTATAAAGTTAAACTAGCCTTAAATTACTATAGAATTTTTATAAAAAGCTCTTTTATAGTTATACTTACACTTAAACTTTACTTTAAGCTCTAGGTAACACTTAATAAATGTATTAAGCTAGTTTATACTAATATAGCTTATATTCTGCTTAGCGTGTAAAGAATTAGCTATATTAGCTACAGCTGCTAGCTAGGGGG